AGCAAAAGCAAAGAGCCTTGTGGGCCAGACAAACATGCAAACTGCTGTCTTATTCAGGGATCCGCGTTTGTTATGCTGGCCGGCTTGATGCTTGATGAGCTGTCTTGCAACCGTACTTAGACTTTTGCGACGGCCCCGGATGATCCCCTGTGCTTCAGATCCGCTGCTGTTACACAAGATTCGCACGCAAGAGGATGACTGATCGTCAGGACCAGTACTTGTACGGAGTACGAGTATGGAGCAGTCGGACAAGTACCGCTTGTACCAGAGGCAACGTGCGTTTGGGACGCCAAGGGTCGCCAACTGCGTTTCTTTTCAAGATTCTCCTTCTTCCAAGGAGCGTCAAGCGTGCCTGTCGTACCAGGCAGAGGACAAACGGCAAGGCTGGTCTTGGTAGAACTCTGCAACGGAAACCGGACCTCCTCCCCTGACGTTATGCGTGCTGTTGTGCCGTGGAAGCTTTCTAGAATGCGAATGCGCCTTTCCGAAATTGGTTTCCCCACAGTCTCCGTTCATTCTCGAAACAAAGGGGACCCGGTGACAGTGCGAATTTCGCTTGGCCCGTTGTGTGAGGCTCTTTGGTGAAGCACAGGGGTGCCCTTGGCTCTCTCGCTCGTCGTCGACAGGGCAGGGGGGGAAAGCGTACAAAGTACACACATCGACGATCGGTCCGTTCCACTCAAACTTCGGCCAACTGTCGCCTTCGTGCCGTCCGTACGGAGGACAGAAGAACCCCGGCACGGCTCTACTCTTGACACGTAGCGGAGCACATTTCACAGGCCGGAACACATCCGTTATTGCCATGGGTTAGTCCCGCCGGGGAAGGGGGCAAGTCTACGATTCAGATGAGCAATGAGAAGGCAGCAAGCAGTATGATTCTGAAACAGAAAATTTCTTTCTTTGGCAAGAAACGGCAAATCTGCCCACCGACCGAGCGGCATCCTTCGTGTGCGCCATCTCAGTGCCGTGCCTCTTCTATAGCCGCGGCACACGCATGCATGTGCTTCGTGCGCCATTGCGAGCGAAAGATTCACGCGCATGGCAACACTATTAACGGGCTTCTAACAAGCCACCGTATGGGCTACTCGCACAATGTACAGCTTGGGATGTCACTTCAAATCCGCCTCTTGTACACTCGTAGGGTGGTACTCCCACAAATGCTTCCTAGATGGGAAGACAGACCCTGACAGGAACTTTGGGTTTGGTCGCTTTAGGCAATTTTCCATACGTCCGCTGATTCCCTTGAAGGAATCCCAACGATTGATCCTGGTCTCGCCTACTCGTGCAACGGGACACCTGGCGCAGTTGACTTTCTAAACTTCCAGCAAAGCTTCCATGGCCGCGGCAGAGCGCCCAGACGCACACATGCTCACGTACCACGTTCATGCCAACGCACAGGTGCTTGTCCATTCAGGATTCACGCCATACTGGATGCTATGGAGCGGTACACGCGTGGAGCATTCTGCATCCAGGCAGCGTTCAACGTTGAGAGACCCCCCGGCATGCTCCACTGCTCGTGATCAGCCATGTGGATTTGGAAATAGCTACGCCTGGCAGAATCTTCAGCGGAAATCCTGTTGCACCCTGTCAACCGCCTTTGGCAAAATCCAACCCCGGCTGATGGCAATACTCGTAAGGCGATAATAGAGTAGCATCATCGGCTTGCGATTCAGCTCCCGCCCGAATGCAACCTACAACTAAGACTATGAAGGAGGATTCGTCACGAATAGTGTTGCTAGTGCACACTGGCACAAGTGGTATGGCTTGGTTTATTGATCCTTGTTCCGGATGCCCTTCCGCTGCTGAGATGAGAGCGAATAAGCACGGCCTGTGGTTGGTTACCAGTTTTTGGGAATAGCGGTTTCGCCCAGCCGTCCATCAAATGAAACAATTACCAGTAGCTCACGAGTGCTGCCAGCGGTTGGAGCAAATTTGCCGCCAATTTTAACGAGTCGTACTCGGACAAGCACATGCAACATCCAGTTGGTGGACTGATGGCTTGTCATCCAAACTCGCATTCACGACTCTGAGATTCACCGCGAGCCAAGCCGCATCAAGACCAGCATCGTTGTTATGTTGTTGTTGTCGCTACGAGACATGAGGCAGAATTACCGAGCACGGCAATGCGCCAGCTGCATGCCGAACGGTATCGCCGCGTTCGCCTCGCCGCATCTTGAGCTGATAGATGGAGCCGGAGAAATGCCAGCCTTCACTTTTGTCTGAACCCTGTTTCTCTCCCCCATCTGCATCTGCACCGTTGTGGGTTGTGATTCATGCGTACCCCGACTCTGAGTGATGCATGCCCATCAAAGGGGCGGCAGCAAGAGCCGGCCTACGGATGTGGTTGTTTCAAAACCAACAAAGCGAGTTCCAAGGCAGCTACACTCATTCGGGGATTAGCAGTCATGGTAAGCAACGGTGCCGTACTGTAGCATTTCTCCTCCCCCTTCTTCAAGATCCATGTCTTTAATGTTTCTTCAGGGCACGGGCTTCTTCAAGCCACTGATTCGGCTTAGCTTTGGAGTCTTGTTCAACGTTTAAACGTACCATTTACGCAGATATGAACCTTGGGAGATGCCGAAAGACAAGAAAACTACTCTGGTACCATTACAGCATACCAGCAATTTCTCCTATTGATTCTGCTCCGTACTGTACTCGTACATACAGCGTGCTGGATCTACAGTAAACAAGGCTCTCTTGTCTGATGAGCACGTTTGCCTGGAAACGGGATCCACCGTGTCCATCGCCGTCGCGATTCCGCTAGGGTCATGGCGCCGGGGAGCGTTTCCGCCTCGGAATTTCTCCTGGGCAACGAGTCTTTAGCGTTTTGATGGAAAGAAGAAGAAGCAACGAAGGGATTCCCTCGGGGACCGGACCCAGCCACCTGGGCGTCGGTCGGAGGCCACCAGCGCACGGCGGAGCTCGCTGATAACCGTCGGCCATAAACATCTCCGTGCTAGCAGGGGGGGGTTGAATGAGGCCGGCTCGCTTAAAGGACATGATTGAGATGGAGTCAAAACGGGACGAAACAATCTTTTTGCCTTCTGGAAGCCCCTTCGGTCACCTGTCACGATCGATATCTGTGGCGCTAGGCAGGAAGAAGCCGCAGGCATATTGGATGCTGATTTTACTTTGGTCAGGTGTTGGGGGGGCGCGTATACAGACAAGTATGGGAGTCAATCTCGGCATTCGAGCACCTGAATGAAGCAGTTTAATGCAATGGAGGCACTCAAGGGTTGCGTGTGTGTGACTGGCTCACGTTGACTCCATGTGGAAATGCAACTTGTTACTGCTACTACTGTTGAGCCTTGTTTTTGCTCCGCAATACAACACAGTACAGGCGAAGATGGAGCAAATCAACACGCTCAAATACAGGCAGAGCCTTGTCATCAATCCCCGGGATCGTGGATACGCGAAGCAGGGTCAGCCTTGTTCCCCAACGTGCGGACGACAAAAGTCGCGGCCCTTGCAGCCACGCCACATCACATGGAAATGTCATGTCATCGTGTGACTTCGGGGCCGCCGCTGAGATTGAGCAGCGCAGCTCCGAGACAATTCCCTCCGGTGAGGATATGCCTTTGTGGCTGCTGAGAATGTCAATATGAGGTGATGGCTAGGGGGACAATGGGCGGCTTTCGTTCGACGGAGAGGCGCCACGTTTGGAGGCGGGCAGGTTTTGGCGATATTTGGATGCCATGCGGGCTATTTTGAGCCCTTGCTTGGGAAGTGTTACGTATTACTCCGTGTTTCGTAAGGGCCAAAAGGAACATGGTTTGAGGATGCGGATACGGATACGTCTTTTGTGTGAGATAATGTTACTATATCCGTATAGTCTTCGGATCTACGTTGAAGAATCTGGCTGGCTCATAACATACATGGGTTGGAGAGACTTGGAGATGGTTTGAGTAAAGAGTAGTGAGTCTTTTGGTTTTGGACTATGTGATTAGTTTTGAATAGGAGGTGATATTGCGATTTGGCACCTCAAAGCTAGGAGTCTCATATACATAGATATGTTCGTTTGGTGATTATTTAGTGGAAACCTCATGGCTGGCGATTGCTCTGCTGGGCCTTTTTCTCGTTCCGATCTCCCCTTGACCTGTGGCAGCAAGGTTACGAAGCCATCAAGTATCGCATTAACGACAGCCATATTCTCTGGAACCGCTGAGTGGAGGATATATTTATTATCAAGAGGCCTCAGTAAAGCTGCAGCAGCCAGGTCAGAGGAAGGCTACGCCCCCGCCTTTGGTTCAAAATCTGGAATCAATCTGTAGCTCGACCCGATCGGCCACAGCCGACCAAGTCAAACCTCGAAGATCCGGGCCACAAAGTATGACCGCTAATCAAGGTTCAGGATCAAACTCAAAATGCGCAAGAAGGCCAATTTCGCATGATGGGAAATGGTTGTCTTGAGGGAAAGAGTCCCGAGAACTAACGTCAAGAGAGAAGGCGCGCCAGAACAACAGCAGATATGAGTTTTACGAAAGGTAACTGCCGAGCAGGTTTTTTCTGTCTTGAGGGAAAGAGTCAAGAACTGACGTCGAGAACCGATGTCGAGAGAGAAGGCGCGCCAGAACAGCAGCAGAAACTGGGCACTATAAATTTTCTCTCGGCTCCCGTCTGTTGATGTTTTCTTCTCTTCTTCATGCTTCTTTTTTGATTGGTGTGGTACGCCCGGGGTCAAACCCGGGGGGACCATCTTAACATCAACGTAATTTTTGGAACTCCAACTCCTCTTGCTTGTCAAGACCATTTTTTTTCATTGAGTTCTAGGTCTTGTACCTGGTCTTGAAGAAGAAATCTGCGCCAGGGCTTCTGGAGTGCTTGACGAGACAGAAATGAAATCGATGGCTGTAAAGCTACTACTAGTAGCTGCGTTTCCCGGCAGCTTCATACGCTAGTAAGTTCGGGATAAACATCACTGCAGTAGCACGTTGGTTGTCAGCCCACAGGTACGAGTACTCGTAATCATAATCAGCCGGGTCTGGCCCCAAAGGAGCAACTCACGTTCGCCGCTGGAGCGGCATCTCCCTCCGTATCCTCTCCAGCCCATCAAGGTCAATGTCTGCGAAGCCAACCTCCTCCACGGCCCCGTCTTCCGCGTTGCCATCGGCGTCTGATACGCCCTTGAGGCAGACCAGGACCTTGCCCCACGGATCGACAACCATGCTGCGGCCATAGCTGGCCCGCTTCTCGTTGTGCCGGCCGACCTGAGCCGCCGCCACAATGTAGCTCTGCGTCTCGATGGCGCGAGCGCGGAGCAACGTCTCCCAGTGCGCCTCTCCCGTCCGCAGCGTGAATGCGCTGGGATAGGTGATGATCTGAGCCGGACGGGCGGCCCAGGGGCTGCCGCTGCCCGGCTGGGCGAGGGCGAGGGCTGCTTCTGGGAACCGCAAGTCGAAGCAGATGAGGCTGCCTATTCTGCCGACGGGGGAGTCAAACGGCGGCGTGAATCTCGTGCCCGGCTGGACGGTTGCGCTCTCCCGGAGGGTCCCGTAATCAAAGACATGTAGCTTGTCGTACATGGCCGCGTCTTCGATGCTGCCGTCGGCGTTGATATACAGGGCCCGGTTCAGTATCTTCTCCTGGCCCACAACGGTGTCGTGGATGCCGACATGGACGGCAATCGAGTGGGCCTTGGCAGCGGCTCGGAGGCCTTGGACGAACGGAGACGACTCTTGCGGGACGGCCAAGTCTAATGAGGCTCGGGCATTGACGGCAATGTAGTCTGATGCTTCTGGGAGGAAGAGAACCTGATGGCATTTGACTGGTCAGTTGCTTTTGCTCAACGTGCGAGGGTTCAGAGGCAAGGCAACCGGCGTGTCAAGGGGATGAGCCAGCCAGGTCGGTCGAAGAGGTCATCTGCGAGGGAATGGATATGACGCGACGATGCAAGTTTATCAACCAACCCGTGAGACACGGCTCAGGCCAGCAGCAATCTCCCAGGGCTGAAGGCTTCATGGGCTGTGCGATTTGATGAAGGCGTGCTGAGACAGCTGTGCGCTCTCACTTGAGACGACAAGCTCCATAAGGGTATGCATTCCTCGCTTCCCAGAGACAGGCCCATTATAGGCCATCTTGCGATCGCAAACAGGGTCTCAAACGAGGTCTCACGGCAAGAGATGAAATTTGCTGTAAACAAAGGGAGCAGAGGAGTCTAGCTAGCGACTGTAGGGGTAGGGAGAGAGGCAAGAGAGTGCATACTTGAGCTCCGCCGAGTGCCGCCTTGGCAACCAGTCTCATGCACTGGTTTAGATTGGCCGTGATTGAGCCAGTGGAGCAAATCTGACCGATTGCCTGAGTTGTGAAGAAGAAGAAGGCGTGTTAGCACAAGTTGTGGTGATGGTCATGGTCATGTTGGAACAAGAACCAGGTGGTTTGGGTGTAAGACGCATTGAACCTACTGCAATGGCCATGGCTGCCACAGTACTGTACAGGCAACAAGATGAGGCCGGTATACTCGAAAGTACCAGAGGCTGGTTGTCGCTTGCTGGTTGATTTCAGCGGCAATGTTGAAACCACTTCAAAACGTTGCGAGTATTCACTCACTCACTCACAAAGACAAGACTCACTCATGCCCGTGTAGATGCGAAACCCTCATTGGCGCGATCCCGCCGCAGCATTGCATAATCGAGGCATTTGTGTTTGGGTGGCATTTGGACCACTCGCTGCTCCCAAATTACTAAACCGCTAACAAGCATCATCACTTGACGAATTGAGCCTTCATCTGATGAGTTGAAGCAGAAACTAGACAGTGATTGAATAGCTCACATGGCCAATCCTTTTGACAGTTTCTTCTTCCCTCAAATGTCGGTCAGTTGCCCCCCCCCCGGTCAATGCATACAAAAACTCACTGTAACTGCGTCATGCATGGCCAGGATTCGTGTCTCCGCCACTGGATAACGCCGCCTGATGGACAGATGGCAAGGAAAACCTAAAAGCTTACGTCTCTCCGCTTGCATCAGCTTTTTCGGCTTCTCTTGTGCAACCCAACTGCGGAGCTTCTGACGGGACGCCCAACTTTTGCTGTCTGGCTGGGCCATGTGAGAGCGAGAGCTGCTGGGAGTCTCTGTGTCTGTGTCTGTCTCGGTCTCTTTTTCTTTCGTGATTATTGTTGTTCTTGGACGCCCAACCGCTTCACTTCACTTCATCCCACGTTATACAGAGGGAGAGAGAGCGGATTCACCTAGACTGACCGCCACCATGTCATCATCATCATCATCCTCTCTCCAGCGCTTGCTACTTCACCTCCTCTTCCTCCTGGCCACTGTTTCGGCCGCGCCATCGCAGTACTGCCTCTTTGGCCTTCCCCGCGATGATGTCGATTTCTGCATGGCCGTGTCGCTCTATCACAACCACTCGACATCAGCTCACGATATCTATCTCTCGCTGGCAATGAGACGAAATGCTACTGACTCCAATGCCGCTGCTCTCGGGTGGACCGCTCTCGGCACGGGCCTCAACATGGCCGGATCTCTCATGTTCGTCCTCTACGGCGATCCCAAGGCGTCCGGGGCCAAGCCGACGCTGAGCGTGCGAACCGTCAAGTCCGGCCACGCAGTACCAGCACAGGTCACCCAGCAAGACACCGGAAAGCAGCTCGACGTTCGCGTCTCGGAGACGTCCTGGACAAAGACCGACGACGACCTGTACGTGGCCAAGGCGTCCATTGTCTGCTACGCCTGCTCTGAGTGGATGGGCGCGGAAATCTCGCCCGAGTCCATCTCGCATTCGTGGATCTGGGCGTGGAACAAGCAGCAGGACATGAAGGCCTTTGCGCCCGACCAGCAGCTCGAGACGCACTCCTTGGTGGATGGCTTCGGCCACTTCTACGTCAACATGCAGGCCGCCACCTCGCACCACGCTAATGGCTTCCCGGCCTTGAACGTGACGGGCGAGGATTCCAATATCGGCACCTCTAGGTGGCCCATCAAGGAGGGGAAGACGGGGCTGTGGCAGAAGCTCCTGTCTCGGCCTCTCGCCCATCTTCATGGCTTCTTCATGATGACTGCTTTCCTGCTGCTGTTCCCTGTCGGAGCCGTGGCAATCCGCTCCGGTTCCGAAAAGTCGTTCAAATACCACTGGGTCATCCAGGCCTCGGCCATGGTGTCTGCCCTCGGCGGCGCCGTCGTGGCCATTGCCATGAGCGACGGCGTCTTTGATTCCCCTCACCAAGTCGCCGGTGTCGTCATTGTCTCACTCCTGGTCGTGCAGGCCGTGCTCGGCTGGCGACATCACGTCGACTTCATTCGCATCTTCCGCCGCACCTGGATCTCCTACGCTCACATCTCCCTCGGGTTCGTCATCCTGGTGAGCGGCTGGGCCAACGTCATCGGCGGCCTGGTGCTGTACGGCTTCAGCAAATTTGGCCTCGTCATGCTTGGCCTCTTCATCCTGCTGGAGGCCGTGGGCATGGGAGTCTGGTCGTTCCTGGCCAGACGCCGCTCCAAGGCAAAGGGCCCGATCCACAAGGAGACGCCCGAGTCTTCGGCGGCGTATTTCGCCCTGGAGGATATCCCTGAGAGCGATGAGGAGGATGACGCGGCGGAGGAGAGGGGGCTTATGCAGAAGCGGAATGATTAAATGAGCAAAATGTGCCAAAAGGAAAAAAAAAAACAGGGCTTCGATGATATATTTGGAGTTGAGGTGATTTTTTATCTAGTTGAATTGAACATGTACAAGCCCATAGGAATTCAAGTATTGTCTCGTCTCGTCTCGTCTCGTCTCGTGCTAAGCTATCGCATTCGACACACGAGAACTCGGGGAGCCCTCATCTCATCTCATCTCATCTCATCTCTTCACGCATGCAAGCTCACGGAAACCAAACACATCTCAAAGCACGAATTTCTTTCATATCCCGTCTATTTCCCCCACTGTCAACTTGAACTGATGCGCATTCCACCATCTGTCAACCATTTTTTTGTTCCCGTATAATTCTCTTCTCAGCAAATCGAAATCGAATACGAAGCAACCGATTTACCAGCGTTGCTTGAAGAAAAAAAGAACGATGGGAGAGAAGACCGTAAAGCAGAAAAAATAGAGCACATCAGATTCAGCGACATGCCATTTCATCTCTTGTATTTCTCTCCCTAAACCTGTCCCCCCCTTGTAGGATTTTTCCCTTCCTATCTTTGTTCCTATAACATAAAACGCCCTGCTGAACCGAAAAAAAGACCTTGCTCAGGAAAAAATAACAGAAATGAGGAGAGAAAAGAAGCAGGAAACAAAAAGAAAAAGAAAGGAGGCAGAAAGAGTCTGCACACATAGCGCATGGTATCTCAACTATGACTGAGCCCGCCCATTGTTCTGATATCCCTTTCCCTCCCCCAAGAAGTTCCCCGGCCATTCATCATTAATTATTTAGGGTTCGAATTGTCCAAGTGTATATAAGCGTGTTGCAACGCTCTGGCCTCCCGGCCGTCTCTCTCCAGCACGGTGATCCAGTCACGAAGCTGAATGTTCTTCCCTTTTTCTTTATCTTCCCGCCACGTGCCCAGTCTGTTTCGTCCTTCAGTCGTCAACGCCATGTTGCCGGGGGTTGGAGCTCCGGGAACGCCGTTCGGGCCTTTGCCTGGTCCGGGGGCGGCCCGTGTCGGGGTACTAGCACCGCTTCCTCCTCGGCCAACATTCATCCAGTCATACGTCTTGCCCGACTTCTTCTTGCCAAAGAGGCTTCCCTTGCCTCCCAAGCCCGCAAACATGCTACTCGTGATGTTCTGGTTCGCGTGGCTGCTGGCCTCAGCCGCCTTCATGGCCTGTGTCTTCTTCAACTCCTTCTTCGTCATTGCCTTTTCCGACTCTGGTGCTACGGACCCGGGCGTACCGGGTGCGACGCTTCCTGATCGTGAGGCTGCAGCGGCTGAGTCGCCTAATCCTTCTTTGCGCATCTGCCGTCTCCGCAACCGGGCCTCTTCCCATTCACGCTCTTGCCGGGCCAAATCTCTCATTGTCAATGTGGCGTAAGAGGCGATTTTAGGCAACTTGGCCGGTGGCTGTTTGATGGCCGTGTCATTTGTGTCGGCAGGACCTGTGAGGTGTGAGCGGATGGTTCATGCAAAGCAAACATTCAAAGCAACATCAAGCTTACGCTTCAACGAACTGGTACCCTGCCCGGCTTCAGTACCAGCACCGGCTCCAGCTACAGCTCCGTTCGCATCGCCGTCCTTTTCCACAATGGGTTCCAATGGCTCTGCATTCATTGGAGCGGCAGCGGCTGCCCACTCCGGAGGGATATCTCCATGAGACGTCTTTTGCCGTGTTCTCGCCACCACATTTGCGTCCTCAACCAACTCACGTACTCTCTGCTTCGTTGCTATCGACATCAGCGCAAGCTGATCGACCAGAAAGGCGTCATGCGGTATAAAGGAACCACTAGTCTCCACCAAGGTGCCATCCGGACCTGTACTTGTCTTGACCGTTACTTTTGGTGCTGCAAAGTTCTCAGGCAGCTTCATCTTTCCCATAGATGGAACGTTGTTCTTGAGCTCTAGATTAAGACCCAGATGATGTTCGCGAGCAATTCTCTCTGCTCGGCGGTGTAGTAATGCGACAAGAAGAAAGGGATCGTTGATCTCCTGGGTTCTCTGCACGGCAAGCCGCATTGTTGATTCCTGCCACGCCTGCTCGGCTGCCTGAGCGGTATATTGCTTCTGCGCCAAGTCGGTAGGCTGGGCAGGCTGGTTGGCGGGGCCGGCACCGTAAAAGGTGGACTTGGAACCCGGTGCATACTGGGGGAATCCCGTTCTGGCCTCGAATGATCCCTCAAGAGCATTTGAATAGAGGTCTGCCATGTACTGCTCTTCTGCGCGAAGGTCGATTCCCGTACCAGCCAATGAATCCGTCACGTCATACTCGTAGTCTTTCGTTGGTCTCTCTGCTGGTTTCTGAGGAGGCCCCATGACCCCGGGAGTCTGTAGTAGTGGAGCTGCTTGTTGTTGCATTTGCTGCATTTGCTGCATCTGCTGAATCGGTTGCATGGGTTGCATCGGCTGCATCGTTGCATTTGTATATTGCTGAGGCATTGGTATCGGGGACGGCAACGGTACTGGTGTCTGCACATGGCCCGGCGTCTGCACATGCCCTGGTGTCTGTACCTGTCCTGGCGTAGGCACCTGCATTGGTGTTGGCATTGGGATTTGCATCGGCATCGTTCCTTGCGCTGGCGCTTGCTGAGGAGTGTGCATGACGGGCGCGGAGACTGTTGGTGAGGCCGTCGGAAGACTCAGTCCTTGAGGAGGCGGAGGATGGCCGTTTGTGTACGGCATGGCATATCCGGGCTGCTGCACAGGCGGCGTTGGTGCTTGAGGATACGTTGGCGATCCAGACGCAGTGGGAGGAGTGGCCACGGGGACTGGGCTCATTGTGTAAGGCGAGGCGGCGTAGGGCGACCCAGGCTGTGATGCAGGCCCGTCGGTTCGAACTCGTTTGTTGGGAGGCAGCGCAAAGCCCGAGTGTGATGTCGCGGGAGATGGGCTTGGCTGCGGAGGAGAAAATGCCCGCGGCGGAATCTGAGGCGAAGGTTGTGGTTGCGCCATATTGTCCACTACTTCGACAATGGAAACAATAGAACGGGCCGGCGGTGGCAGATTCGAACAAACTGAACGGCGAGCAAACGAAAGCCGGGGCGAGCGATTGCGGCAATCGAGGGCTCTCAACAGGCAGTCAAGCCTGTCACGGTCGCCGTACCTCGTCCCATCCGACGCGCAGAGCTGGCACGGGTCTAGCGGGCGGTACGAGATTCTGGCTGTGTGCGATAACGGCACCTGGAGGTTCGGATTCGGGCGTCTCGGAGATGGAAATGCGCTTCGTGGCGTCGTCGAGCAGAGAGCTGGTTATCGCGGGCGCTGTGTATGAGGTTGAAGCTTCGTAGCAAAGGTTGGGGGTCGCGTAAATTTAAAGTCACGTGCACCGGCACTGGGCTGAACCACGCGTCACTACCCGGGCTTTAACCGCCGCTATTGTTCTCTATCGCAGCAGCCAATTGATATCAGCTCGACTTCGCATCATCTTCACTTTCTGTTGTTGCGAAGCTCTGGCCATTGTTTTGCTTCTTTGTTGCAGTGGGGCCTGTGCCATTGGTGGTGATCTGATACTTGATTTGTGTTCCCTAACATTCCAGGAACCCCGGCGGCTTGGTGATGCTGATGTGAAGTTATTCCTTGTCCTTCCTCCAGGCAGGCATTCTGATCAAACGCGACCATGGCATCCAAGCGGAAGGCGTCCGCAATGAATGCGACGGCGACTGACGAGCCAGTCGATCCATCAGACGAGCTCATGTTTCTCTGTCTCGGCGGCGGCAACGAAGTTGGACGGTCGTGCCACATTATTCAGTACAAGGGCAAGACGGTTATGGTGAGGAAAATCCGATCAATTGCAGTCGTGGGCTTGGCTAATACTCTTGTGCCCGTTCTAGCTCGATGCTGGTCAACACCCAGCCTACGATGGCCTCGCCGCGCTTCCGTTTTATGACGACTTTGACCTTAGCACCGTAGACGTGCTCCTCATCAGCCAGTAAGCGATATCCCGTGCATACTCCCCATCTCCCTCTTCTCCAGTCGAAGCAAAAGTCCAGGCGGCTATAAGTAATGGGCGAAGGGCGAATTGGTGCTTGTTGCGAAGGAAAGGGCATTGTTTCCGTCTACACAGTGATGCCGTGTCTCTCTGTTCTCTCTGTCTCTCTATTCCACTTTATATGCCAGTTATGAATACAATACGTTCTCCGCCTGTTCACGCTTTTGCCCCGAGATCATATCTTTTTGCTGCCTCGTGATATACCGGCCCATTTCAACCTGCCACTACTGCTCTCAACAACGAGCCTCGAGTCTGTTGCTAACCCGTGGGGATAGTTTCCACATTGACCATGCGGCGTCTTTGCCATATGTCCTAAGCAAGACCAACTTTCGCGGTCGTGTCTTCATGACACATCCGACCAAGGCCATTTACAAGTGGCTGATCCAAGATAGCGTTCGGGTTGGAAACACGGCATCAAACTCGGCAACCCAGCTCTACACGGAGCAAGATCACCTCAACACGTTCCCGCAGATTGAAGCGATCGACTACCACACTACTCACACCATCTCGTCCATCCGCATCACTCCTTATCCGGCCGGCCATGTCCTAGGAGCGGCCATGTTCCTCATCGAGATTGCCGGTCTCAACATCTTCTTCACTGGTGATTACTCGCGTGAGCAGGATCGCCATCTTGTTTCAGCGGAGGTCCCCAAGGGTCTCAAGATTGACGTCCTCATCACCGAGTCAACATATGGCATAGCGTCACACGTGCCGCGACTTGAACGGGAGCAGGCCCTCATGAAATCCATCACGGGAATCCTCAACCGAGGTGGCCGCGCGTTGCTGCCTGTGTTTGCCCTTGGGCGGGCCCAGGAGCTTCTCCTGATCCTGGACGAGTACTGGGGCAAGCACCCTGAATTTCAGAGGTTTCCCATCTACTATGCCAGTAATCTCGCCCGAAAATGTATGGTCATCTATCAGACATATGTCGGAGCCATGAATGATAACATCAAGCGACTGTTTCGAGAGCGTATGGCCGAAGCCGAAGCCAGCGGCGATGCAGCGGGCAAAAA